AATTTTGCTTTGCTGGTATTCAGCATTGTCAGACGTCTGGCTGTTATACACAGCACTAGGGATGGAGCTCGGCCTTTCCCAGGAGGCCTTCGGTCAGCTTTAGGAGTCGAAGGAGAAAGCGGAGGAGAAGGTCAAGAAAGTCACTAAAGATCTTCAACGTGAGTGTTTTTCATGCTATTTTGACTTGTGTAGCGTTAAGCGCATGCTTTGCATATGGTTGTCTTGTTTGCAAAGTATCGACATTAGGCCCATGCGCAGTTCTAGGTGCTCATGGAACAAGTGAAAGCCCGTGATGACAAGCTTGAGGCGATGATCGTGGGAATCTAGCCCATGCTAGACTGCGTCGGTCTTGAGCAACCCGAGGGGGTACGGCTGCCCGGAGATGGGCCATATCGGTTGGTCGTGGATCGTTGCCGGACAGCATGGGTGGACTTCAAGGAGTTCGCACGCAACGTTGCCCATGGAGCCATTGTCCACGCACTCACATAGCTATGGTCACACTACCCTTCAGTGGATCTCCGATGGGTGGCGACCGGGTACGCATAGGGCACGGACACGGAGAAGATCACCAGGCTAGAAGACGATGCGGAAGAGCTGACGAAGAGTTTGGACGAAGATGTCGAGCTGTTCGGTGAAGGGGGGAGCAGTGATTCGTAGAGTAGAAAAAGCTCATGTTGAATCGTTGTACAAAAGTGCTTAGCAACTTTTGTTGAACACTTGTTGTTATGGTATGTTTGTGTTTATATTTGATATAAACCATCCGATCAGAAGTGTATAGCTGAGTCCCCAGCCCTAGCTAGCCTATTGACCGTAACGGAGGGCATAGGGGCTGTGTGCGTGTGGGAAGAACAGGGCATCGCTAGGGAACCGCTGCCGACCACCCATGACGCAGAGGGCGAACGCTCATGCACATGCAGGGAGAAGTCAGAGACAGGGTCGTCTCTGGAGGCGTCTGAGCGTCAACGTGTCTGTTCGGGCATTTGCCTTAAGCGTAGTTGGCGTGTCATCTTTAAGATGTTGTACGCAGAAACATAATCGCTTAGAAAAAAGCACGAAGATAACAATATGGAGAAACATTAGAACAAAAACTTTATTGAATACTCGAATATGAACGGTACATATCTTTGAAAGGAGACCCTTCAAGGGTAGAAGCGCCTAAGAAGATCGATGTGCCAAGAATTTGGGACATCTCTTTCATCCATGTCGCATAGCCTGTAGGTACCTGGTCAGGTGACTGCCTTGACGATCAAGGGGCCCTCCCTGGGTGAAGATAGCTTGTGCATCCTGTCGATCTTCTGCTTCTTGCGTAGCACTAGGTCTCCGACCATGAAAAATTGATCATTGACGTTGCGGTTGTAGTATCTTCGCATGTTGTCAAGGTACTTCGCTGTCCGAACACATGAAACCAGGCCCTCCTCCTCTAAGCTATCCAACTCAACGAGCCGGGCTTGGTCAGAGTTTTCTTTGTTGTAGTTCTCCACTCTGGGTGCTCGGAAAGCGATGTCAGCTGGTAAAACGGCCTCGGAGCCAAAAACCATGAAGTATGGGGAGACAATAGTGTTGCGACTAGGCTGGGTCCTTAGTCCCCAGACCACAGCTGGCAATTCCTTAAGCCACTTGTTGGGGTGCTTCTGGTCGTTCTTGTAGAGCCTCTTCTTCAACGCGTCGAGAATCATGCCGTTGGCGTGCTCGACTTGGCCATTAGCCCTGGCGTGCGCGACTGAGACATACTTAACTGAGATGCACATTTCGTCGTAGAAGTCCCAGAAATCGGCACCGGTGAATGTGGACCCAAGTTGGTGATGATGCTGTCCGACAGGCCAAACCGGTGAGTGATGTCGTCAAGCAGCTTGACTGTCTTCTTCGCTATAGCTTGGACCAGGGGTTTGTATTTGATCCACTTGGAGAATTTGTTGATGTAGACGTAGACCCAGCGGAAACCTCTCGACATGGGCTTGAAGGGCCCGATCATATCCAGTCCTTAGCATGCAAAGGGCCAAGACGCATGAATCGTTTGCAAGGCCTGGGCCAGGACGTGGATTTGCTTAGCAAAAAACTGACCATTCTCACACCGGCGAACGAATGCCTTAGCATTGGCAACCACTGAAGGCCAATAGAAACCAGCTTGGAAGGCTTTGCCGACCAGTGTTCTAGAGGCTGCGTGATTGCCGCAAGTGTCGGCGTGGATCTCCTTGAGTATCTTCTCACCCTCTTCTATGGAGACGCACTTCTGGAGTAGCTCTCCCTTGATGTTCTTGCGATATAACTTTCCTTCAACTAGGACATAATGCTTGCTACGATGGGTGAGGCATTCTCTCTCTATGTTGTCAGCTAGGACATCTGACAGTGGTGAGGTATTTGATGAAAGGTTCCCTCCAATCACTACTCAGGCCAGGGACCATTATAACTAATGGCTCAGCAGGTGGCTTTTCTTCAACGCCTTGTTGCCCTGCTTGATGGATGGCATCATGAGGTCCTAGATGAACACTCCGGCTAGAACTTTGGCCCGGGTCGACCCTAACTTTGATAGCTCATTGGCTACTTGGTTGTCAGCCGGACCACATTGTGGTACTCGATACCGTAGAACTTGTCTTCTCACTTTCTTACACTATTTGCCTAAACGGCCATTTAGCCCATTTACACACCATTTAAACACTACACAGTGGTACACCGTTTCCGTTTAATCGGTTGTTTTGACCGTTTAAACGGCCGTTTTCCTGTTTAAACACCCGTTTTGCCCGAATAATGGGCTAAACGGTAGGTGACCGACTGTTTACCGTTTTGCGTTTAGGATAACACTGCTTTCTTATCGCGGCGCAGTAAGCGTCCATCTTCTCATTGGTGCAATTCCAATCCTTGTTTAGCTGATTGATCATGAGTGTGGAGTCACCGTACACCTGGAGGCGTTTAACCCCGAGCTCGACAGCTATACAGAGACCATGAAGTGCCGCCTCATATTCAGCGGTATTATTGGATGCTCGGAAGTGTAGATGGAGAACATAGCAAAGCTTATCCCCCGATGGCGAGATGAAATATACGCCTGCCCCAACACCATCAAGGTTGAGAGACCCGTCAAAGTACATGGTCTAGTGCTCGGGGTGGTCGACCGGGATAGGAGTCTTCATATCCGTCTACTCAGTGATGAAGTCAGCAAGCGCCTACGACTTGATCGTGTGGTGAGGCCTAAAGTCGATGGTATAGGTGCCAAGCTCAACCGCCCATTTAATGATGTAGTCGTTGGCTTTCTTGTTGCGGAGGATGTCGTCGAGTGGGTACTCAGTGACTACCGCTATGTGGTAGGCGTCAAAGTAGTGATGGAGCTTTCAGGATGTGATCAGGATGGCGTACAACAGCTTCTAGACCTGGGGGTAGCGAGTCTTAGACTCATTTAGGACCTCGCTGATGAAGTAGACTGGGTGCTGGACTTTGTATGCGTGTCCGGCCTCTTCACGTTCAACAACGATGGCGGTACTGACTACCCGGTTGTTCGTCGCGATGTAGATTAGCAAGGTTTCATCCTTTTGGGGGCAGTCATGATCGGAGGTGTGGTAAGGAACCGCTTGAGCTCGGCGAATGCCTTGTTAGCTTCCTCCGGCCAGACAAATTTCTCTTGAGCCTTGAGTAGCTTGAAGAAGGGGAGTCCCTTTTCGCCCAAACGGGATATGAAACGACTTAAAGCCGCCATGCATCCCGTTAGCATCTGGACGTCCTTGGCGTAGGTCAACGGCTTCATGTTAGTCACCGCTGCTATCTTCTCTGGGTTAGCTTCGATGTCACGGTGGCTGACGATGTTGCTTAGCAGCATACCGGAACGAACGCCAAAAATGCACTTAGTGGGATTTAGTTTCCATCGGTATACTTTTAGGGCTTTGAAAACTTCGGTGAGGTCGGCAATGAGGGTGTTGGTTGTCTTAGACTTAACCACCATGTCATCGACGTAAGCCTCGACGTTGTTCCTGATCTGGTCCTTAAGGAAGTGCTGGATGGCTCTTTGATAAGTCACACCCATGTTCTTGAGCCCGAAGGACATGGTCATGTAGCATTAGGCGTCGAAGGGTGTAATGAACGACGTCTTGATCTGGTCTTCTTCCTTTAGTGCGATATGGTGATAACCAGAGTAGCAATCTAAAAAGCACAGGAGCTCGCAACCGGCTATAGAATCTAAGACCTCGTCAATGCGAGGTAAGCCGAAGTGGTCTTTAGGGCAATGTTTGTTGAGATCGGTGTAATCAACGCACATTCTCTATTTTTCATTCTTTTTTCTTACAAAAATCGGGTTAGCTAACCACTTCAGATGATACACCTCTTTGATAAAACCGGCAGCTAAGAGCCGGGTTATTTCTACCCTAATAGCTTCCTTTTTATCATGTGTGAATCGTCGAAACTTTTGCTTGATCGGCTTGACGCAGTCTTGTGGGTTGGACCTCTCCTAGCTGCTCGGCCCATGCACAGCCCTGCCGCTATCGGGGGTTATACCCCCACCGGCACTTGACAAAACTTAGTCGTCAACAAATTCAAATGGATATTTATTAATGATGATATAGACAGCAACGGCGACCGTACCAGAAAATTTCAAGGGATTATATGTTGTTTGGAAATGGTACCTGGAGAGAAGCTTAGGGGTAAATGATTGCGCACGATTTTTCTAACATAACATGCCAAACGTTTTTTTTTTCCTATAACTGAATATGTCAAACGTCGTAGCTAACACCCTAGTGGTTAAGGATGCAAGCGGCGCAGGCCTGTCCACAAGCCCACTTAGCCCGCCCCCCGAAATAGGCCTGCTGGACAACCGCAAGTTGCTTACTTTTCTGTTGCGGGCTGGGGCAGTTGAGCCTGCTAGCCCATGCGGGCAACTCGCAGAGCCCGCTAAATCCTGCTAAGTCCTGCGACTATCGCTCCGCGTGCGAGAGTGTGCGACTCGGCCTCCGCCGCCGCCACCTCGGTATCTTGAAACCTGCTCCCGTCGGCGTCGCCCCGCCGCAGCGCTGCCAACAGCGATGGAGAAGAAGCCCACCGAGGCCCCCGCCCCTACGCCGGCTAAGAAGTCGTCGTCTTCCTCCAAGGGCGCCCTCGTGGCAAGCGTGCACACCGGCCAGCGCGTGTACGGCGAGGAGCCGGGCTCCCCGCTGCACTCGGAGGACACGTCGAAGGATGGCTCCGCGGCGGGCGGTCCAGGTCGTCGAAGTCGGCGTAGTCGGACTGCGAGCGCGCGTTGAGCTCGGAGCCCTCGTCGCACGTCGGGTCTCCATCCTGGCATCGATGATGCCCCTCCCCTCCCCTCCCCTCGCTGCGCGTTCTGCTTATCCATTCCATTGCGTCAAATAGAAGCGGGTCCTGCTAGGCTTTGCAAAGCATGCGGGCTTAAGTGCTTTAGTAAATGGATGCCCGCTAAGCCTGCTAAGCATTTGTTGCGGCCAGAGCGGCGGCGTGCGGGCCGTCTGCAGAGCGGCCCGCTTGTATCCTGACTAGTGGTATAGTAGGATAATAATAATAAGAAGAAAAGAACAGAAAACTGAAAAAGGACGAACAGCAGTAGCCAAGTAGGCATTGGTTAGGTAGCCAAGCACTGAACTGGGGCAGGGCACCCAATGCAAGGCGATGGGTCATGGACTCGCCTGATGGGTCAAAGCACGGCAACTATTCGCGGCACTTGAGTCACACCTGAGTACCAGACGAGTGGCCACCGGCGGCGCCAGAAGAGAACGCCCCCCGAGTAACCCGACCGATCGCCCGCGTGGAGGGGCGTTACGTTCATTACCGTCGGCGCCGGGTGTCCCAACGCGTAACGGGGCATGGGCCGAGAGCCTGTGGATGGCTCCTGTTCCGTGCCGTGCGGGATCGCTCCTAAACCGGACGCGATTCGACATATGCACCCACGGCGTCTGTACCTTCCTTGCGTTGCGTACCGAGATCCAGAGGAATCGCGCCGCCGCAAATCGACAGACGTGATGGAGGAGGACCCGCCGCGTCGGCTTCCGGACGACGTGCTCGCGGACATCCTCGCCCGCCTGGCGCCGGCGCCGCGCAGCCTCGCCGTGTCGCGCTGCGTGTGCAGGGAGTGGCGGGCCGTCGTCGACGACCGCTGCCTCCATCTGCTGCGCCCGGACCTCCTCCTTCTCACGGTGGGCGGAATCTTCGTCGACTCGTACTGCACGTATGAACCGGACTTCTTCGCCCGGCCATCGACGGCGCGCGGCCGCTGGGTCGCCGGCAGGCTCGAGAGCTTCGTGCGGATGGACGACAGCATCGCCGCCGACTATAGAGAGATCATGGACTGCTGCAACGGGCTCCTCCTCGAGGAATACGAGGTCATCGTGGTGAACCCGGCGACGAGACGGTCGGCGCGCTTGCCTCGCTGCGTCGGCGTCTTGCCCGTGGGCCACAAGAGCATCGGTTTGTATTGGAACTACCTTGCGTTCGATCCAACGTTGTCGCCGCACTACGAGGTGATTTCGATGCAGCATGATCCTTTCTACGGCGACGAGGAAAAGAAACGATTGGAAGGGTTGCAGTGGCCGCCGCCGGTGTACGTCATGCGTGCCTACTCGTCTAGGACAGGGAGTTGGGAGGAGAGGCTCTTTGCCCTCGACGACGATGAGGGGCTTCAGAGGAGTATCGATGGTGTGAGTGTGAGGCCTTATGGCCACGCCGCTTATTGGCGCGGAGTGCTCTATGTGCATTGCAACAGCCATTTTATTCTCAGGTTTGTCACTTGTTCCTTAAACTATCTTTTGTTTTGACTTTTATTATCACTATTTATATTTAGGAGTATTATATAAAGTGTTGTTTACTAATTTATTTATGACTGAATGCAGGATAAACTTGTCAGATGATAAGTACCAAGTAATAGATCTGCCAGCAGACGCTACTGCAAGTGACGATTTACGTGAAGTTTACCTTGGAAAGTCCAAGAATGGGATATATTTCGCAGCAATAGTTAATGACACATGTCGAGTCCTCGTTTGGTTCCTTGACGAATCTGATGGCAAGATGGAGTGGGTATTCAAGAACATCATCAACCAGCATGATTTGATAACGCCTTTCTGGGACAGCCCTGATGCTCAAACCGATAGACCTTGGATTCTGCAAGACGATGACTTACACCAAGAATTTAAATTGGGACCAATAGTGGAGGTGGAAAAGAATTTAGGTGGGGATTCTGACGATGAGAAAGCCGTGGAAATTAAAGATTATTGTGATACCAACAATACATATAGATTTATGATATTTGGATTCCATCCCTACAAAGAGATTGTGTTCTTACATTCTTCGAGAGTCGTGGCATATCATTTTGGCAGCTCCAAGGTTCAAGACTTAGGCGAGTTACCCTTACGCTTCAGATATCCTCATCACACCATCACATGAGATCTTTCGTATATACACCCTGTTGGCTTGGAGACTTGTCTGAAACTAGCTACTAGTTCAGAATCATCACAGGGTTAAGCTAGGCTCCCATATGTGATGTACAATTATCCTCGCAAAAGAAAATTATGTGATGCACATGTAAATTGGTGCGGTGCCATTCGACTGGAACTATTTTGAGTGTTCCTTCCTTTTTTTTCTCTCTCTTTTGTTAAGAGCATAGCATATACGGTAACATCTTCCAAGGAATTGAAAATTGGAACACCACAAGGGCTTAAATCAATCATTCTGCATCCAGCTGAACAATGAACACAGTATCTTTTCTAGTTTTCTTACAAGGACAAGTGTTGAACATTTGGAATTTTGAACTCAAAGGACCATAACCGTCAGAACTTTTATTTTAATCTCCCCTCTTTCTTGTCGAAGCTGTTCAGCCACGATTGTGGTGAAGTCTTGACTTGTCAATACATTCTCAAGTGACTAATCATTTTTTGTATAATCTATTGAAGTGTTAAGTGATCATTTTCCCCACGCGGCCACACTTCCCTTTCATATTCTTTTTATTAAGCTTGTTATTAATGCTGTACAAGTGTACATACATGCCGATCTGTTTTGCTATCAAGTGATCTGTATGCTATCCTAAACCAGATTAGTTAGTTGTTGGTTGATGCAGTGGTGTGCAGTCTGATCTGGTAAATATTCCGCAAGGGGAGGGCTTTTTTTTTATAACATGCTTCATTAACTTAACAACAGCGTACACAGTGACTAGCTTGAAAGGCTCCAGGTTTACATTCTGCAATGCCTGATGTGCTAGTGAGTTTGCTGTTGTATTTGAGTTTTTTGGAATCTTGTGGACCTTGAACTCTCTTGTTTGCAGTGGAGTAGCAACTGAGGGCAACTAACCGGCAAAACAAAGGATATGTTTAGAAGACTAAAGGATTTGATTGTTAGAGCATGATGGATGGTTTATTTTTGAAAAAAAAATATTTCAGAAGTGGTTGGCTCTGATAGATGAAATATAATCTTGAAGCGTTTTATTGTTTTTATTGCAAATGAACTATTAAAAAGAAAACTCAACCCGCATGAGTAAGATAGACCCGGAACATTATACTTAGGAAGAAGACATTCTCAAGCAACTCGAATCATCTTAGGCAGGTGAGGGGATTTTTTTAGGTTTCCACCCAACGTCCTGTGGGACTAGAACCTGGGTCACAAGGGTGCGACGCGGCACTGCTAGCCATCTGGTAACATTGGACTTCGTGTATAAATACTACTTAGTTTATATATATATATATATAATTTCCAGCATAATTAGGTATGCTATTGTTCCATGCAGGATATGTTCAAAAACCGAACGAGATTCGAATTCGACCCGTGCTTCTACTTTACAGGTAGCGTGTCCGTGTGTTTGCTATAGGACAACTAAATCTTTTATACTAAAAATATATGGATCGTATGATAAGATAACAATACTGTTAAATTAAATACCGACGTTAAAATGATATTTAATTCAAAAAGTAAAGTTCGTGAAATTAACACAGTCACGGAGAGTGCGGCGTCGCATGCTTACAAACTCTACTGTATAGATTTTTTCGTGATATGGCTAAGATAATATTTTATATCGGCAGAAAGAATTCTCCGATATCTATTTCTTTCGTGCGCCAATAAATCAATGAATAAGTTCCGCTGCATCTCCATATAATGTTGTACACACAGGTTCGAGTATATATGTAAATATTAGTGCATGTCAAATGGATAATACTGCGTGTCTTAAAAAATCTCTCATAAAATTTTAAAATAAAGTATGTTATACTCATTGTATAAATATGTGTGGCTTTAGAACTATTCCACATAGACATATATTATAGAATAAGGTATCAACTTGAGTGTCTGTTTTAAGATGTTGAATTAGATGTTGTAATTATTTATTTCGACACATTTTTAGGTCAAGGCAACCAATGATGACACTTTTCTTAGTGTTGCATAATTTTATGGTACACCTCTTGACTATCTGGGTAAGGACAAGTTAGCACTGCAAAGGCTCAGAAAAGCTGCTGAGAAGGTCAAAGTTGAGTTTTTCTCCACTATGCATCCTAAAACCTATGTTCCCGTTTATCATTAGCGATGCTTTTGATGCAAAGCAATTTAACATTACCATGATCAGATATAAGTTTGAGTCTCTTGTGAGCAATCTCATAGAGGGACTCTTATTCTTTACTCGCCTCAAGGATATTAAGGTGACGATGGACCCATGATGGAATGTCGCACCAAAAAGTGTCCACGCTTTTGTCCATTTATTTATTTTCCATGAATACATGCGGGTACTATGATAACACTTTAACTATACCATGATCGATGATATAAGAATAATCTATTAAGCATGATCTTCTTGAAAGATTCTCTACCTTGTATCCTAATTCAAAATTTTATAGTTTAATTAGAATATTTAGGTGATTGTATATATATAATATTCAATACAAGAATAATCTATGGATGATCTTCTTGAAAGATTTCTACAATTTAAAGACATCTTCGTTTTTCATGTATACCCGTGCTAACGCAACGGTATAAACAAAAGAACAATATATCAATTAAAAAATAAAAACAAAACTCATGCTCAAAGTCAAAGAGATAAATTATGGATTCTTGAATTTTATCATCCATTATCTACCGGCGTGCCTATAAAATAGACTGAATAAACAATTAAACATAGATAGAAAACTAAATTAATGAAAGAATCATTGCAAGACATCAATCATCTCATAGTTTCAGACAACATCACAAAGCTACTAAAAATTATAACCGTGCCCTCACCTCAAACATTGTCCAGATAAATGGATTACAATGAAAGAAATGGATATCGGAGATTTTCTTCCTACCAATATAAAATATTATCTTAGTCGCATCATGGAAATATCTATAAAGTAGAGTTTGTGAGCCTACGACGCCGCGCACTTCGTGACTGTGTTAAATTCATAAACTTTGCTTTTTAGATTAAATATCACTTTAACGTTGGTATTTAATTTTTACAGTATTGTTATCTTATCGTGTGATCCGTGTGTTTTTAGTATAAATTGTTAGTTATCTCGTAGCAACGCACGAACACGCTGCCTAGTATAAATATAAAAAATAAAAAAGACGACAAGAAAAATTGGCATTAAACCAACTCCTTTTGATTCTTTACAAACACATATGAAAGTTAACATGTGGGCCATGGGCTGTGGGCATCAAATCAAAACAAAAAAAGAACATGGATTCGACCATAAATAGCATTTGCCCTCCACTATGCATACTAAAACATATATCCCTGTTTATCATTGCCGATGCTTTTGATGCAAAGCAATTCAACATTACCATGATCAGATATAAGTTTGAGTCTCTTGTGAGCAATCTCATAGAGGGACTCTTATTCTTTATGTGATCTGTCTCAAGGATATTGGTAGGATGATGGACCCATGTTGGAATGTCGCACCAAAAAATATCCACGTTTTGTCCATGATTTATTTCTCATGAATATATACGGGTACTATGATAACACTAACTACACCAAATGAAAGATTAGATAGAATTTGCATTGCCTCCAAAATGATTTATTTATTAAGTTCTTTGGACTCTACAGGTAGTTTTGAAATATCTGTTTGCATGTCTTACCTCGTATCCTAATTCAAAATTTTATAGTTTAATTAGAATATTTAGGTGATTGTATATATATAATATTCAATACAAGAATAATTTATGCATGATCTTCTTGAAAGATTTCTACAGTGTAAAGACATCTTCGTTTTTCATGCATGTTCGTGCTAACGCTACGGTAAAAATAAAAGGACAATATATCAATTAAAAGATAAAAACAAAACTCATGCTCAAAGGCAAAGAGATAAATTATAGATGCTTAAATTTTGTCATCCATTATCTTCCGACGTACCTATAAAATAGACTGAATAAACAATTAAACATAGATAGAAAACTAAATTAATGAAAATATCATTGCAAGACATCAATCATCTCATAGCTTCGGACACTATCGCAAAGCTACTAAAAACTATAACCGTGCCCTCACCTCAAACATTGTCCAAATAAATGGATTACAGTAAAAGAAATAGATATCGGAGATTTCTTTCTACCAATATAAAATATTATCTTAGTCGCATCACGTAAAGGTCTATAAAGTAGAGTTTGTGAGCTGCTGACGCCACAAGCACTCGTGGACCGTGTTAAATTCATAAACTTTGCTTTTTGATTAAATGTCACTTTAACGTTTGTATTTAATTTTACAAGATTGTTATCTTATCGTGCGATCCATGTGTTTTTAGTATAAATTGTTAGTTATCCCAGTATAACGCACGAGCACGCTTACCTAGTATAAATATAAAAATGAAAAAGACGACAAGAAAGATTGGTATTAGACCAACTCCTTTTGATTCTTTACAAACACATCCGAAAGTTAACATGGGCCATGGGCTGTGGGCATCAAATCAAAACAAAAAAAAAGAACATGGATTCGACCATAAGTAGCATTTGTCCTCCACTATGCATAATAAAACCTATATCCCCGTTTATCATTGTCGATGTTTTTGATGCAAAGCAATTCAACGTTACCATGATCAGATATAAGTTTGAGTCTCTTGTGAGCAATCTCATAGAGGGACTCTCATTCTTTATGTGATCTGTCTCAAGGATATTGGTAGGACGATGGACTCATGTTGGAATGTCGCACCAAAAAATGTCTACGTTTTGTCCACGATTTATTTCTCATGAATACATGCGGGTACTATGATAACACTAACTACACCAAATGAAAGATTAGATAGAATTTGCATTGCCTCCAGAATGATTTATTTATTAAGTTCTTTGGACTCTACAGGTAGTTTTGAAATATCTGTTTGCATGTCTTACCTCGTATCCTAATTCAAAATTTTATAGTTTAATTAGAATATTTAGGTGATTGTATATATATAATATTCAATACAAGAATAATCTATGCATGATCTTCATGAAAGATT